CCCCTCCTCGTGCTCCTTCACAATTTTATCCTCGCATTCAGCCCGAAAAGCGGCCATAGCAGCATCGGCCTCGGCTTTCATTTCCTCCTCCCGAGCAGCGGCCTCTTTTGCCTCTCGGACTCTTGCCCCCTCCGCCGCCCCCTCCTCAGCCGCCAAGGCCCGAGCCTCCATCTCCGCGAACGCCCCCTTTAAGCGGGCAATCTCAGCATCGGACGCGGCCTGGTCGTTGGAAAGCGCCTCTTGTGCCGATAGGGATTGTTGAAGGGTCGCCTTAGTATCCTCCAAACTCTTCTGGAGGTTATGAAGATCACCCATCGGCTCCAAGGCCATCTTCCTAAAAATGGCCGTTGCCCGCACATGTAACTCACAGGCCATAGCCCATCGTGCCGAGGGAGAGGCCGAGTCAAGCATCGTGTGACCTTGAGCCGACAGCAAATCCGACGACATCATCCTCGACGGCCGGATCTCTTCAGACAAAAAGTCTTTGGCCACAATGGCCGAAGGGACCGCCAAGTTCGACGAAGACCCTTCAACCCTGCGCTGCTTCGGCCGTGGCACCTCCGGACCGGCTGCGTCAGCTTTTTTCTTTCCTTTGTCTTTTCTCTTCCTGCTCTTTGGGTCGGGAAGAGCAATAACAGGGGGCGCCGGTTGGGGAGCCTCCATCACTTGCGGCTGGGAATCAATCGCGACACTGCGATGATCTTCAGCAGAGGACCCAGCCGGAGCCCTGCTCCTCATTAACTGCCGGTATGACAAGCCCAAACCTTGCTGCGCCATCCAACCTGCAAAAACACACCAAGTCACAAATCAACCTAACAAGCACGAGCAAAAGGAAATAAAATAACACATACCCTCTAACTCAAAACGAGGCCGAGGCGATTTGGGAAGCAGCACCAGAAACCGAGACGGGATGCACCTCGGCAATCCCTTAAGAACGCTTAAGGCCGACAATTCGGCATCGGTCATCATATCCTCGGGGAAGTCATCGTACTTCCGAGGCTGACGAGTCCAATAAAAAGGAAAAAGGGGCTTCCCATCGGCATCGTAAAAATAATTTCTGCCGGCTACAGGGTCTATGATTACCTTCACAAACCCTGACTTGAAGCCCTTAAAGGAAGACGTAAAGGGTGTCAACAGTGGTCGGTCGGGGTTCCGAATTAGCGACAACCACTTAATCGTCTTATTAGACGGACGTGTACAGAAGAAATGCAAAAACAAACCTACAGTCGGCTCTACGTAATGGTATTTACATAACACCCGAAACGCTTGCATATAAGCCCACGCGTTCGGGTGCAACTGGGTCGGAGCTACGTTTAATACACGAAGGACCCCCATCTGAAAATCATCAAAAGGAAGCGACATCCCTAACTCCCGAAAGAAACACTCGTACATGTAAAAGAAATCCCCCTGCTCTTCCCGCTTCGCAAGGAAAACCAGATCGAGCTCCCCAGGTCCTTCGGCTCGGCATCGTCGAAGCATGATCGGATAAGGGTCCCAACCTTCCCATCGGCCCAACGTGCAAAGGCTAAGAAGGCGTATCACGGCGGCCCTCTCATGAAAACGGGAGAAGTAGGCCGCCACTTCACCATCAACCCAGTCGTACCCGGGGACCTCACAGGGGGGAAATTTTTGCCTATAATCCCCGGGACTCATTTCGGCATCGGGCAATTCCGACCCAGAGGAAGTCCCCGATTCCCCACTACGCTCGGGGCCCGACTCACTAAGACCCCCAATCGTCTCTACTTCGGCGTTAAACGCCAATATCTCGGCATCCGGATTTTGGGCCGATCCCCCCTCGCTGGCCGAGAACCCTGACGACAATGTAACACCTTCGGTGGCCATTATCACTAAGATCAAAAAATAAAACCAACCTTTTAGGAGTATTCGGCTCAGAGAAGAAAGACTAGAGGCGATGCAGAGAAAGTATAAGGCAAAGAGCCCCACCTCAACACCTTATATATAAGTCACTCACGGCAACCCAAGAGGCTCATAATAAATGCACCTGCACGCCAAACGACACAACCCCAAGGCACGAAACCCTAAGGCGGCGGTAGCATGCAACTGTCATTGTCCACTCGACACGACTCCCGAAAGTGCACGTCCCCCCATATTTCAAACCCTGAATATTCCCCGAACCTCTTTCTCGTAAACAAAAAACCCCTTCGTCTTTCATCCTCGGGCTTGGGGGGGTAGTGTACCGGTGGATACCCCTTCGGTCACGCAATAGGCCGAGAGGGGTACCCGAACCGGAGGACCACACCATATAGCACCCCCTCGGTCAGACAATAGGCCGAGAGGGGGGCCCGAACCGAAGAGTCGTACCACGTGGCACCCCCTCGGTCAGATGATAGGCCGAGAGGGGGGCCCGAACCGAAGAGTCGTACCGCGTGGCACCCCCTCGGTCAGACGATAGGCCGAGAGGGGGGCCCAAACCGATGAACCACGGCACCCCCCCCCCTCGGCACCATGCCTAGCCGAACACCCCTCGGCCTCAGGCTAGGCCGAACACTCTTCTGGTCCTTTGGGAAACACCCAAAGAGTAGTAGTTACCCAACAACGTCCCTTCGGCCCCAAGCTTGACCGAACACTCCTTCGGTCCCAAGCTTGACCGAACACTCCTTCGGCCCCAAGCTTGGCCGAACATCCCTTCGGCCCCAAGCTTGA